TACAAAGTCCCTGCCCCAACTCCGCCCCCTATTGAACCCCTTCCCCAAATCCCCACCCCGGCCCCGCCTCTTCCCCGAGCACACCGTGTTCCCCCTCCTCTCCCTCCCTCCCAGCACTTGCCGCCACAAAACAGCTGTTTGGCAGTGGCAAGAGCTGTGAGCTAGGGGGAGAAGCAGCGCACTCAGGGGAGGAGTCGGAGGTGAGCTGGGGCGAGGAGCTGCCAGTGGGTGCAGAGCACCCACCAATTTTTCCCCATGGGTGCTCCAGTCCCGGAGCACCCACGGAGTCAGCGCCTATGCCTGCAACACTGAGGAATCCAAAGGAATCCTCTGGTTGTAGACTGTTTTGATTATCTGAGGGTAGACACTCTCCATTTCAGGTGATGGGATGAAGGATGCTAGCTCTTCAGCATGGTTTCATCTTCCCACTGATTTTAGCTCTATCATGCCCAGATTCAGATTCAAGCAGTTGTCCTTCATCAAAGTGCTGATCTCAGCCAGTCATTAGGATAGTTGGAAGATGGTGCTCTTTGTGCTAGAGGTAAAGGAGAAGTATATCTGAGTATGACCTGCATAATATTGTCAATTGAGACCACAACCTGTCACAATTTCTACCATCAGAAATATTCCTATGCATATAACTATTAATATTATATATCAAAGGGATTTTCTGCTATGCCCCTATTTTTAACTGTGGAATTTAAAAGGAAAAAAAATCTACATGGATGTCACATTGGGTCCTTTGGTCTTTCAATATATGAATAGAATTACAGAATTATGATTCACCCAGAATATCCTTTATCAAGTTGTATTGCTGCCTAGGCACCACAATGATTAAGTAATAGGAAGGAAGGAATCAATGAGTGCATAATTGATGTCCAGACCACATTTATAATCTGCATTATGAAACATATTTGAAATGTACATAGTGTTCCACTACTCATTTGTAACATCTAAGTGAACATATATACAGCATTTAAAATACCAGCTGACCAAACATTTATCCCCTATTAAGATGCTACCAGTAAACCTTATGCACAATTTTAAATAGAAAAGCTGTATTATACAGGATTCTGGCATTTGAATTATTTAAAAATGCTAGTCTGCCATATATAACATTAGGTATGTTTCTCTTTCCATTTTAACTGACTGTGGGTGAAAACTGAACATTTGCCTATGTAGTATTTCACCACAATATGTATTTTTGGACAATTCATATTAGTTTTGTTGTCCATATCTATTGCCTCTAATATGAGTTCATCATTCAGGGGTTTATAAACTCTTCCAGATGTGATGCTGAACCCACATCTCTTGCAATAGATGTGGATGATAAACTATTGTGAATTGTCTATAATTATTGGGGTGAAATATTCTGATATTATGTTTTACACTTTTACACTTCATAAAAGATCAAGTTATAAAAAATTCCAGTGGCATAAGCACTCTCAATATTTTAGTTTCTGAAGGTGCGGTATTTTTGATATGCTAACTAAAATGCAGCCTATCCAATTAAAGCCATTGTTAAATTTAAACAGATTCACCTGCTGTGAACATGCATCCAGAGGCAGGCCAGTGTGAATTAAAACAGCAGAACTATAAACTCCGAAGAAAGCTGGCTTATACCAAAAACAATGAGAGCCAGTTTCCTTGCTGTAGCAAAGATCTGCTTGGTGCAGGAAAGGGTAGGGAAATCGTAGAGTTGGCTGCAGCTTTTTGATTCTCTGCCTGGTTCCTCCTCAGCCCAGACATACATTAGACTAGTTTAGGGGCTGCTCTAATCTACAGCAGCTGGCAGCTGCAAAGGGAGTATCTGTGGCCGGGAATAGTCAGAACACCACCCATCCCTGTCCCTACACTGGGACCGCAGGAAGAGACGTAGGAGCCAGCGCTACCAGCTTTACTTATGGTGGGTAGATGCAGGAAGATTCTGCTCCCTTTGGGCCACGTCAGTCAGACCCTGTGAGTCTAATTGTAGTGTTACCAGGTGTTGCTCAGTGTGACCATGCAAAAGGTGGGAAGTTGAAACTTTCCCCATGAAAGAAATGTGGATTCTTTTACTATATAATTTCTGGTGTTTATTTTTCTTAAACTACATTTGTTGGTTTGGTCATTTAGTCTCATATAGAAGAAATTAGCATGTTCTGCCTTGAACTAATATAAAAACCATTTTATATCACTAGGATAAAGTTAATCTATGTTCCTACTAACATACCATCCACTAAGAGCAAATGCTTAGCACAATCACAGATCTTGGTCCTTCTCCCATTGATCTCAATGTGTTAGCTTCAGTGGACACAGGCCTGAGCTCATAGCTGAGTCCAGCTCTGCACCAGCAGCTCCAATCAGGATTTAACCGTATTCTTTTTTTTCCCTTTTTCCTTCATTTGTCTTGACTGCAGTTCCACCACAATCTAATAGACTAACCATTAACTGCCTTGCAGTTTATATTACAGCTTCTTCGAAACTTAGAATTGACAATCTCAGCATTAGAATACCAGAAATTTACAGAAGCGTAGCTGTTTCTCCTGCTGGATGAGTGATAATTGTTTTTCTGCTCATTTACATCTAAAAGTAATTAAACTATACAAAAAAACGATGTACTGTAGTCTTGGTGCAGTGTGCGCTGTTTGCAAGTTATGCAGAGATTCCGTGAAAACATTACAGTGGGAGCTGTAGTTCATTTATATTGTCAATTCCTAAAAATTTGCCAGAATGCAACCTTGAAAGAATTAGGTCACACAAAATGTGGCCTAAGGGTTTCTTCTCTCTTTTCTTCAGTGGAGCTCTGCAGTTGATGCAATAAAACTGTTCTACATCAATAATTTTTAGAGTTTGTTTCCTGAAAATGTTATTTGGCTTATGGAAATAAACCAAGTTTTTAGTTCAGTGGGGACATTCCTTGACTTTCATTCTAGATCTGTTTACATAAGTTTAGTGATATTTCAGCACAAATACATGTGTAATCTAAGCGTTAGCAACATTCTGTTGTTGTAACTATTATAATCTAACTCTTCCTCATATTATGCCACTTAAACCCAGGTATTAGATATCTAGTTTGCAATCTTAAAAATTAGAAAATGTCTAGTGTAGGCCTTGCTTTCCTACTGGAGGGTTATAGTCACAATCTACACATAAAATAAAAGCAGCTTAAAAGCTGATTTCCACATCCTACATATAAAATAAGGGTAAGTTAAAAGCTGATTTCCCAGAGATAGCTACTTATCGTTCAGTGTTACTTCTTTCTAAACTCTGTGTGGTATCCAATGGTCAAAAATGTGCCTTTTCTGATTATAATAATACTAGACATTTGTGACTTTCTTTTATCCAACATACTGTAAAAGTAAGAAAGAATGAGGGTGTAGTCATTCCTCTTGATTCTAATGAGAAGCTGATTAACAGTATTGGGGAGGTGGGGGTTAAATTCCACTCTCATTTACACACGTGCAAA